GGGGGGGGCCGCTGGGTTGCTGGGGGCCCGGCAGCAGGTGAAACTCACCTGCTCAGGTCACCTCGATGAGTTGGTCGATGAGTGAATGAGTGGTCGAGGAACACACAGCGGCATCAGAGAGGAGCACACCACACCGCCACCGACCATTGTCATTGTGTCTCGGTTGCTTGTTGTGCGTCTCATTCAGGGCGCTTGTATGCTTCTGACAAGAAGATGATGCGGTCCGCCTTGCAGCAGGTGACGTTGTGGCATCGCTAGCATACCTGCCGCAAGGTCGACACACCACGCCAACGGTAAATACAAGGACGAGGTTCACTGGGTGGGTGCTCAAGCAGGCGGCGACACACCACGCATCCGACAGACGGACAGGGAAGTGCACTGGGTCAATTTGCCTCTTCCGCCCGCATATGTGGGCGGAATAGCGGGCGGCATAAAGCGCTCAGTAAACGGAACCAGACAGCGATCGAGACTACACTTGGGGACCTCCTCGTTGTGTGCAACGAAGTCTAAGACTGAATGAATGGTCAAAGACTTAGTCTGTTCATTCGTCAGATGAGGGAGTCTCGGCTGGGCATCCACCGGCCCGCGCCGCCGAGTGCCAAGGTATGAAGAGGGTGTGGTGGATGTGCGGTAGTGGGAGGGATCGGCGCTAGAGGTGGTTGGGGGGAGTCGGATTCGTTTGACAAGGCTGTTGCTTTGACAGACGACGGGTAAGAAGGCTGAAAGCAGAAAAGGCGCCTCGGTCTCCACGTCTGTGTGTCGATTCGTTTCCCTTTCTCTTTGCTTGTCTCACCAGGGAAGCGCGCCAGGGGCAGAGAGAAGGTGGGACCTTTATTACACCATCCCTCTGGATACCGTGAGACCTCGTAGGTATCAAGATTACCCAAAAGGGACACGTGGAGCTCTGGGTGTGTGATGACCGACTTGTTGGAATGATGGCGGGGACGATGAGAGGGATGAATTCTCTGACGGATTGATAGCATTTGTGTGAATGGCTGAACGCATGCACTTATGCGTTGCGCGAATCCGTTCATTCGACGAATTCGGTTTCCGTCTGTCCTCTGGACTTATCCTTGCGGCTTTCGAGCACCTCCTCAATATTATTCGGGATTCCGAGTAAGGGGCACCCACTGCGTGGGCACCCCGGGCCGCGAATTCGGCGGGGGTCGAAAGCAGCGTGCGACGTGGTGTGTTGCAGGGTGCATGAGATGACACGTCAATCATGAGTATGGAAGTGAATCAAGGGTTTTCTCGTGCGCATGTCGTGGTGTATACCGCTGCGCTAATGAAGGGAGGGAAGACTCTGGGCCGCCATTGTCGTTCCATCCATCAGTGCGCCGCACTGTCGCTTCTGTCGCTTCCTCTTTTTGTGACTTTGACGTGAAAATGGGTCGATGATGGCCCTTCTTCCCTCCAAAATTCATTCATTCCTCCGCATGAGTACAGGGGCTTAGGGTAGAGAGAAACGGAAGAGAAGCAATGCAGCTCGCAAACGAGCGATGTGGAAATCCACATCGCTCCGGTCCTCTTACCCTACGATGAGCGCGCAGACTGAGGGGGATCGCCTTTTTTTTTCCTCACCAATCTACAACAAACGAGCGTTCTTTCGTTTGTTTTCCCTTCCGGTGATCATTCTAGCCGTTCTTTGTTGTTCTCATCACGATTGGTGGCCATCCCAGTAATCCCGGGCGAGATCTGATAGTGATCTTGCCTCTCACCTTTCTGCTTCCCCTCCAGCACTCCCGTCGTTCCAAACGACCTTCCCTGGCGACTCTCAAGACGAGAGAGAGAGTCGATTCGAATTCTGCGTGGCTGCCGACGCGCCTCACTGATACTGTGATTGACATCGCGTGCGTGTTCGTGTGCATGTGTGTGTAGCGTGTGGACAGACCTTCGTGTGTTACAAGTGAAAGCCTCTTCTTCGTGTCTCCAAATCGTCGACCAACGGACAATCACTTCACATATCGTTCTCCACTAGGCACAGCTCGTCTCAAAGACAGCTCATACACAGGCGGCGAGCAGGTGGTTCAATTATGCGTCACAGAGACGTGCACAGCACAGCACGAGTGCTGGCGAGAACTACACCGAGGCATGCAACAATGGCGAGAGTTTCAGAAATATGCAGACCACAATGGCGAGAGCTTAAAAAGCATGCAGATCTTGAAAAACAGACGTGGCGATAACATGCAGGTACTCAGAGTGGCTGCACCAAGAACAAAAGACACCCCCATGTTGCCGCTCCTGCTGCGCCCGTGTTGAAGACGTGCTTCGCCAAGTATATCAATGCATCGCTGGATGCAATTGGTGTGAACCTATCGATATCCAGCGATGATATCAATAGACATGTATCAATCTAGCGCGCCTGTTGAAGGGGCTGTTGAAGACTGCCTTCGATGACTATCAATCGGCTTGTCAATCAAATGGGAGCCGCCAGGATCAGCCCAACGATGACCTGCACCAGCAACGCAACAAGCTAAGTGAAACCGGCCACAGCCGCGCCACGTCAGATGAAGAAAGCCTTCTGAGTGAGTAGCTTCTCTTCGAGTCAAATCTCTTCACACGGTGGTCACTCGATGAATGCTGCCGACTTCACTCGATTGCTGGCGCAGCCGGCGTCCGCATTCAAGCCGTTCCGACGACAGGACCTTCTCTGTTCAGTGGGCGAGCCGTTACCGATTGAACAAAGAGCAGATACGGGCGTTCCAAATCATCTGCAGCCAGTTGCTGAACCACTAGAAAGACCTGAGGGACACCAAATACATCGCGCCATTGCGCATGACCGGTGCGGGCGGCACCTGCAAGACCGTCACCAAAACTGTGAAGGCTCACCTTGCTGATGTGCAATGCAGACATTGGCTGTGTCTGGCGGCACTTACCGGTGTGGCTGCAGATAACATCACAAGCTCGACCATCGATTCGCTTCTGCACCTCTTCGATGACTTCGAGAGCGGCGAGAGGAGGCTGCGGCGCCAAGCGGTGAAGCAGCAGACAATCGATGATAACCGCATGTTCGAAGCATGTCCACTACATGATAGTCGACGAGATCTCTTTTGTCAACCGCCAGAAGCTTGACAAAGCCGATGCGGCGCTGAGGGACCTGCGAAAAGGCACCCAATGAGGACAAAAGGGATGGCGATGATTCGTTTGGACAGAGTATGATCCTGTGTGGATTCGTTTTTGTGTTACCAGCCTTTCATCACTTGCCCAGACAGTTAAACGTTCAGTGATCATCACCTATGAACGTTGAAATGAAGGGGGTCGACCAGACACCTGATCTATGAGTCCAAACACGAAGGCGGGGTTCTTTCCTCGTGGAATTCCGATGCGTGCAGGCAGCAGCGGTTTCAGGCAGCACCCTAGGCGGCCTGACGTCCCCTATGGTCTGTCCAACATGAAAACACGCACCCTAACATGCAACACGGACACGCAACACGCAGCACGCAGAGGGCAGATGCAGCAAGCAGGTGCAAATGCAAGGCGCTGCGAACGACGGCAACCAGGCACACTACGTGGCACACGCGCCACCCCAGCAACCTGAAGGCGGCGTGCGTGCGTGCGTGGTGCACCATGACTCCATACGTACATACCGCCCATCTCCAGGTGGCCAGCCAGTGTATGTGAGAGCTGTTTCGGTTAAGCAAAACTAGACAGCATGCTCTCGCTTCTGATGCCATTCGCATGTCGTTCGGCAGCCGAACAAAGGAAAAAAAATATGGCAACCCGTCTGGTTTCATGTTTTTCCTAAACATTCGCATTTACTGTTTTACGGACACGCCTGCCCGAAGGCAGGCACGCTACATGCCCACTTTGTCCAGACGTAACACAAAAACACAAAGCTTCTTTGATGCATTGCCGTGTCCATAGCATGTAGAAGCAACATGTCACGGCTACTGATTTGCCTTTTCCTCTCATAAGATCACGTTTTGTCTGCCGGACGCGTTGTTTCATAAAGACGCATTCCGAGTAAGGGGCACCCACTGCGTGGGCACCCCGGGCCGCGAATTGGGCGGGGGTGGAAAGTAGCGTGCGAAGTGGTGGTTCAATGCAGCGTCACAGAGACGCATGCAACAATGGCGAGAGTTTCAAAAACATGCAGACAACAATGGCGAGAGCTTGAAAAACATACAGATCTTGAAGACAGACGTGAAGACAGATGTGGCGATAACATGCAGGTACTCAGAGGGCTGCACCAAGAACAAAAGACACCCCCCATGTTGCCGCTCCTGCTGCGCTCGTGTTGAAGACGTGCTTCGCGAAGCATATCAATGCATGGCTGGATGCAATTGGATGTGAACCTATCGATATCCAGCGATGATATCAATAGACATGTATCAATCTAGCGCGCCTGTTGAAGGGGCTATTGAAGACTGCCTTCGATGACTATCAATCGGCTTGTCAATCAAATGGGAGCCGCCAGGATCAGCCCAACGATGACCTGCACCAGCAACGCAACAAGGTAAATGAAATGGCCACAGCCGCGCCACGTCAGATGAAGAAAGCCTTCTGAGTGAGTAGCTTCTCTTCGAGTCGAATCTCTTCACACACGGTGGTCACTCGATGAATGCTGCCGACTTCACTCGACTGCTGGCGCAGCCGGCGTCCGCATTCAAGCCGCCTGACGGTCGACGACAGGATCTTCTCTGTTCAGTGGGCGAGCCGTGACCGATTGAACAAAGAGCAGATGCGGGCGTTCCAAATCATCTGCAGCCACTTGCTGAACCACGACAAAGACCTGCGGGACAACAAATACGTCGCGTCATTGCGCATGTGCCTGACCGGCGAGGGCGGCACTGGCAAAACACACGTCATCAAAGCAGCCGTGAAGGCCTACTTTGCTGAACTGCAATGCCGACACTGGCTGTGTCTGGCAGCACCTACCGGCGTAGCTGCAGATACTATCGAAGGCTCGACAGTCGATTCGCTCCTGCACCTCTTCGATGACTTCGAGAGCGGCGAGAAGAGGCTGCGGCGCCAAGCGGGAAGCAGCAGACAGTCGATGGTGACCGCATTTGCAGAGAGGAGTCTTGCAAGCATATCCACTACACGATAGTCGGCCAGAAGCTCGACAAAGTTGATGCGCACTGACGGACCTGCGAAAAGGCACCCAAGAAGGACCAAGCTCAACCAGCTGCATGACCGGACAAGGGAGAAACATCCCATCCACCACAAACTGGCGCGTTTCGTGTGTTCAGTCAGTTGATGCATTTTTAAGAAGTTCGCGCCCAGAGATACCCTTGTTCGTTGACTTTCTCCGCGAAGCAAGCGCGATCTTTTTCAGGCAGCAGCGGTTTCAGGAAGCACCCTAGACGGCCTGACCGCCAAGCTTTTTCAATAACTTGCCGCTTTAGGGCACATCAGTTTGACGCACTGATCCAAACGTGGCAAAAAAACACGAAGCTGTTCGACAGATTGACGTGTCTGTAGTAGTGCGAGCAACACAACACCGCTATTAACCGATCGCATCCATGCACTCATTTGTCCACACACCGTCCCGATGAATCTATCCACATATGCCTATGCACATAGGTCATGCTCACTCATTCGATGAGAACACCCCAGCCCCGTCCATCGCCCCAACACAACACCGCTATCGATATTTCTTTTCTCTTCCATACGATCGTGATCGAACGTTTTGTCTGACCGGACGCGTTGTTTCTTAAAGACGCAAATTGGGCACTAGCCCAATTCGCGGAAATTGGCACTAGCCCAATTTGCGGACAACTCCCCCGAATCACCGCGGCATGGAAGAAAGGGACGCCTCCTCTTCGCCCCTTCGGTCGACGAACTCACCGACGGTCGTTCTGGTTATCGGGTCGGTGTGGTGGTACAATGTCTTCTCTACACCGTCGAAGGAGGCATGAATGCATTCGTCTGCTTGTCATGTTTTGTTGCAGCATGGCTGGAAGTGGGAAGACAACTTTTCTCCATGCGCTGTCACAGCATCTGTCAGGAGAGGGAAGGCAGCGCGTGTACACGATCAACCTCGACCCAGCGGTAGTTAACGAGGAAGGCTCTTTGTCACCACTTTTAGCTATCTTCTGTGCAGGCTGTGGATGTCCCGTACACAGCCAACATAGGTACTATATGCTCCGCGATACCGAGAGTTGCTTTATTGGAGTATAATTGCGTAGACATTCGTGACACGGTCAAATACAAGGAAGTCATGAAGCAGTGAGAAAACAAGACAACAATGCCAGTTGACTCTGAGCCCCTTCTTTCCTGCAGCTATCATTTGGGTCCGAATGGCGCCATTCTGACGAGCTTGAATCTGTTCTCCACTAAGTACCAGGGTTCAAGGCACCTACCGCAGATGTTCCGTGGGCGTCGTTGCAGGTTTGACCAGGTCTTATCATTGCTGGAAACTCGTGCACCCAATCTGGATTACGTTGTCATTGACACGCCGGGACAGATCGAAGCGTTCAACTGGTATCGGAGCCCTCTGTTATTTGTCGATCGTTGAGCGTCTTTAATCTTGTTGCATGTATTTTCTCCATCTAGGTCTGCCAGTGGATCTATCATTACTGGTGGGCAACGTAGTTTCATGCATGTCCATGTGTGCTGGAAGTATCTGTACCTACTGTGCGAGCGTATCCGGCTGTGTCATCCCTAGAGACCCTCGCACTGGCTTTTCCAACCATCGTGGCATATGTGGTCGACACCCCCAGGAGCAACAGGCCGGTCACTTTCATGTCAAACATGCTGTATGCCTGCAGGTATGCCGCTCGTATGCGCACACCTATGGGCAGCTGCCCCCTCATTCTCGTGTCCGTGCGGCAACTCAGTGTCTTGTACAAGATAAGGCTGCCTTTTGTTCTCTGCTTCAACAAGATCGGTACAAAATGTGTGAGGACATGCAAGCTAAACTTCAGGTTGCGTGTGTTGTTTGCAGACGTCGAATCGCACTCGTTCGCGCTGGATTGGATGAACAACCCCGAGAAGTACAGAGACGATCTCCACCATGACATCACATACCTAGCAAGGTGAACTTGAGCACAGGCGTATGTCAAACTGGAGTGTAACTGGCGATGCACTCGTGAACGCAGCTTGAGCCGCTCAATGAGTCTCGTCCTCGAGGAGTTCTATAGAAATCTGAGGGTAATCCTGTTGTGCCAGCCGATGTGTGGCAACAGCGTACAAATGTATGTGGCGGGACACAGGCGGTGGGTGTATCAGCTGCAACGGGAGCGGGCATGCAAGCGTTCTTTGAGGCCCTTGCTGAAGCCAAAAATGAATACAACACGTACAATCAGTCATCGAAGTGCAGTCATTATTTATCGGACGTGCACGTGTGTTGCCCTGTTTCTGCAGCGACTTTGTTGAGTGGATTCGAAGACGAAGAGAGGGGATCGATATGGTTATGACGAGAGAGAGGAGCAGGATATATGCGAATGGCCTTCTGTTGTGGTGTTTGCCTTGCAGGAGGAGAGGATTCGCGTCCACCGTGAGATGGGAGCATTCGAGACACATCTTAGAGAATGCATTTGAATGAAGAGAGTGGAACAGTGCATGAAGCCGTACCCTAGACAAGGAGCCATAAGAGGTTCAAGAACACTTGTCTAGACACGTACGTACTGCAGCCGCATCTCCAGCGGCGGCCTCGACATGGTGGCGTATCATGACGCTCGCCATGGGTCTCTTCCTCACTGAGACTCGCCCCTTGTGGGAAATCTGTTCGAGGAGAGAAGACGAAAGCAAGTTCTGAATTGTCCATGAACCCTCAACGGCGGAAAAAGCAGTTACGTTGACGGTCAAGCCGCCCGTCAGCTCCAGCATCAGTGAATTTGCAGTTTTCTCAAACGGGCCTTTTCTTAGTCAACAACGGGGGGGGGAATACCATTACGCGTTGCAGGCTAGCAAAAAGTCTCGACAAAAATGATCTTTTTTTACGAACACTGCGTAGATGAGTTGTTTTGGAAGGAAACATCATGACGGGACTCGTGCGGGAGAGAGTGTGAAACAGTGTTTCATGCAAGTGGTCAGCATGTGGCTGTTGTGAGGTTTGAAATTTTGTACGAGCAATGTGCTATGTCATGCCGGTCCCGCATGTTCAACGGGGGCCGTGTTGTTCGCATGTATGGTCTGACTGCACCGGATGGTGTGGTGTATTTTTGGTGGGATCTTGCTCATTGTGATGCACTGGTGTTCGCATGGTCATTGCTTACTTCGCGCTCTCTCCCTGTGCAACGTGCGTTGGCTCAGTTTCTTCTGATGGCCGTGGCTTCTCGCAAGCGATGGCTTTCTTTGCACCCATCAGCTTAGTTTCCTTGATATGACAAACGCTTTTATGGACAGAGCATCTGCCCTCAGGGGCCGGGACCTCGGTGTCCGTTAACGAACGAACGAACGTGGCCTTACTTGTTGCAGAAGCTCGCCAAAGCTTCTCGGCGACTCGCGAGTTCCCAGGAAGTCGTCCATTTGATGATGATTCCTCTGCTGAGTGTTGTAGAAGCAGCATTTTTGACAGCCCACTGGACTCCTCGCCTTGGCGTCCGTGATCTTCGTGGGACTGTCGCGCACCTCGTAGAGTCTGATGGATTGGGGAGCACGCAGTCACTCCTACCCGTGCAAGACTACATCCTCATCAGGTGAGAGGAAGGGTGTTCAGTCGAGGGGGGAGATACATGCCTTTTCGCTCGAACAGGCGGGATGAGAATATGGAGATGTCACGAGGAGGCGTCCTGCTGCCGAAGGAGGTGAGTAAAGGAAGGGATACTTTCCGCATCATTTGGAGGGTGGCTTCCGTCAGATGCAGAAGTACAAATCGCCTGTGACAGGCACTGTGATTGCCACACCGGCAGGTGCCGCTTGACATATTCCAACACCACCCCTGCAATTCTTTCCCCTGCCTGGCCTTACATTTCAACCAGCTGCAGGAACAAGTACTGCTGATTGTATCGCCCCTCAAGACCGGGTCCTAATCACAGCCTACGGCGATCGACTCGGGCGCAAGGTGTGGACAGAGAGGAGAACTAGAACCTTGTTTGATACGTGACCGATTGCAGGTCATATACAATAGATTCCCACATGTATTGGTGAAGACTCGAGATATTCTAGCTGTCATTGACCGCGGATGACTGAATGCCCAAACTACGCGGAAGTGATACACTGGAGGGATTCACCGAGTCACCATCCTTTACAGGTGGAAAGAAGACAGACAGTGGATGCCTCTTCTGTGACTAATGCGATGCGAGATAGACAAGATGGGTCAGTCCCTGCTGGCTAACTCTTCTTCTCATCTAACCACATTACCTCCGGCGAAGTGCTTATTGAAGGAGCTTTCTCCTTCAATCGACCATCACTTTGCTTATGGTTGATCTTTCTTTCTTCATTTCTGGAGCGAGTCACAAGAAGACCACACGCTCCAAAAAACAAAAAAAAGGGGAAAAAAAGAGAAAAAGACACAAAACAAAACACACGCGCACACACGCAAACGCACACCTCCCTGCAGCTCACGCAGAGGTACACCTCAGCTGCCCGCCACATCCGCTTGTGTGGCTACTCATGTGCCCCATGCCACGCGAACCCGTCGCGAAGTTGCACACTGATACGGCACAAGCACGGGTCGGGACGTGACTGGGGAATGTATGCATAGAGGACATATTTCCCCGAGAAATCGGGTGGACAGCATAGCTGGAGCGGCTCCCTTCGGTCGCTTAAGGGTTTGACGAGACGCCTGTCCCTAAGCCCGGCGCCTACCTTTCGGCGCTACCGGACATCTTCTCTGTCCACAGCACACACCAAATAGGCAGCACGCACACGCGCGAAGCATGCACAAGGCCTACCCACCCATCCCAAGCGGTCGGTCGGTCGCAGCAGCGGTTTCAGGGAGCACCCTAGGCGGCCTGACGTCCCCTATGGGTCTGTCCAACATGAAAACACATGCAACACGGACACGCAACACGCAGCACGCAGAGGGCAGATGCAGCAAGCAGGTGCAAATGCAAGGCGCTGCGAACGACAGCAACATACGAGCAGGCACACTACGTCGCACACGCGCCACCCCAGCAACCTGAAGGCGGCGTGCGTGCGTGCGTGGTGCACCATGACTCCATACGTACATACCGCCCATCTCCAGGTGGCCAGCCACTGCAGATCCCCCAGTCACAAACACGCCCTTAAAATAACCACGCACGGGGTGCAGGGGGTGTGTGAGAGCGCACCGCTGCCCCAGTCTCCACGGCGGAGAGGGGCGGCAGGCGGCCGACCCGTAGACATCCCCGGGGCACACCCATACACATGACCGCAGGGAAAAGCAGGATGCCCGCAAGACACACACACAGACCACGCCCACACTCACACTCACACCCCTACACACACGCACACACGCAGGAATACCAATACCTCACACGCATACCCACGCCCCCACCCACACTCACACCCCTACACACACACACACACACACACACAACACAGGCACATGGAAGCACAGTGTGGCGAGGAAAAGACCTAGTGGGGTGAATAGGGGCCCCTCCCCCAGACCTCGTCTCTGGGGAAGGGGCGGATGAATGGTGTGGCGGCCTCACTCTTGCCGCAAACCGTAAGAGCACACTCACGCCTGACTGCATACGACAGGAGGACCCACCATCGGGCCACGGCACGGCCCGTCGAGAAATCCCTGTCGTCCCTGCCTTGCCTAGCTTGTGCAAAAAGGTCTCCATAGTCGAAGACCAGCGTCCATACGACTCGTGTACCCTCCCCGTGCACAGGCGACGGCATACACGTTCCTCTTGCGCTTCTCGGCCACGCGAAGGGCCGAGCCAGGCCGCTGGTTGCTGAGGTTCCTGGGTTCGCCTGGGCGGTCGGCGTGGGTGGGGTGAGTGGTGGTGAGTGGTGGTCGGGATCTTGGTCGGTCGGTTATGCGAGCTAGCGTTTCCGGCATTAACGCATGCGAGCTAGAAACCCTAGCGGTTGACCCCTTGTACGCTGTGGCAACCCAAGCGGGTGGTGACTCGTTGTTGGGCATCGATGACGAGACAGCGGCGGTGTGTATGGCTGCTGGTAGCCGCCATTGTTTCCCATGGCGCGGCAGCACAATCGAAGAAGAGCGAGCCAGCGCCTGTCGGAGACAAGAAGGATGTGGGTGGCTACGGCGGCTGTGACTACGGCTTCACAGACAAGGGGAATGTATGCACCAAGATGGAAAGCACACCCAAGGTACGCAGGCTTCATCACGGCAAAGTTGAGAAGAAGGTGAGAATGCAATGTTATGACTTTTCGGCGACAGGTTCTGGTCTGTGGTCCCCATGCGAAGCTTGAAGGCGACAAATGCGTCAGGATCATCAAAATCCACCCATTCCACCGTTGCCCAGGTCTCGAAAGGTTGCATGAGCTGAAGTTGTAACACTGTTATATCCCCGTCCCCTGCTGTTTGTCCGCTACAGAGGGATATGATCTCCGCGGCACCCACAAGTGTCTGAAGGTCGACGGCGTTCCGCCAGAGCCAATGTGCCCTAAGGGTTTGGAGTTGACAGAAGCCGGCAGGTGCCAGAAGAGATCAGACGTCCTGCCTGAGCTCGTCTGCAAACACGTAACGTGTCCAAATGCAGTCGTCCCTTTCCGCATCACTCGATCGCGTCTGCCGTCTGTCGTCTGTTGCTTGATCCTCAGGGCGGGACGCTGAAGCACGACAAGTGTGTGGAATCTATTGAAAGCCGTGCCGTGCCCCACTGCCCTGCTGGCTGCACCCTTTCCTCCGGCGAAAAGAAGAACGCAGTACGATTCGCAAGCAGACGAGCGAGCCAATCAGAACTCACAAAATGCGTCTGCTTCTGTTGTCAGGCGTCCGTGTGTCAGTGCATTACTCAGGAAGGTGCCCTGCCCTCGTGCCCCAGGGAGTACAAGATGGAGAGCGATGAGTGCACCAAGACAGACAGCTACGCCCCAACTATCACATGCGATGGCATGAAGCACGGAGCCGGCAGCAAGGATGGCAAATGCGAATCTATCCAGACATACTCTCCATCTCCTTCATGCCCCAAAGGTGGGGTGGGGACAAGAATAGGTGCAGCCGCCCTTTCTTCCGTGTTTTGCCGCCGTCAGGGTACAGTATGGAGGCTTCGAAGGGCAGCGGACACAGTCATCACGGCAGCGGAGGAGCAGAGTGCGTCTCGTCTGAGAAGGGTGCCAAGAAGACAGCCCCGATGCAGACGATCTGTGACAAAGGAGGGGAAATGAAGCATGGCAAATGCGTCAAGACCTCGCATGCCCCCGGAATACCAACATGCAACAAGGGAGGATCTCTCGTGGACGAAACGTGCATTCACAAAGGTGCGCACTGCAAAACGGGGCAGGCAGAAGGGATGAGAACGGCGCAGCATCCTATCGTTCTGGCAATTGCAGAGACTGTTCCTGTGCAATACACGTGCTCCGACGGTAACATGGCTGATAGCACGAAGTACGGCAACAAGTGCACAAAGGTGCGTCTGTGGACGAGGAGACGATGAAGAGCAGGGCGGTCTGACAGTTGCGTGTGTATTGCATATGTAGACTACCACCGCTCCCATGAAGATGATGTGCAAGAATGGCGCAGTGGGCAAGGATGGCAAGTGCACAAGAAGCAAGGACAGGGGTGCACCGATGCTCGAATGTCCAAAAGGTAAAGAAGGCCGGCCTGCCGCGTCCATGAAGATGAACAGTCCAAAAGCACGCTTCACACATCTGTCATTGTTGATGTACATAATTGCACACACAGGCACAGAAGAGAAGAAGGAAGATGGAGAGCTCAAGTGTGAGAAGCTCGTCGACAAGAATGTACGAAGACGAAAGAGGAGTATTCTCTCGTGATCACACGCATTTGTCTTTGTCCCCTTTTTCAGCCGATCCTTCTGTGTCCCGACGGAACCAAGTTCAACGACGATGTGGGCGTCTGCATCAACTTGAAGGAGACTGCACCTGTCGAGAGGTTCTGCCCTGACGATTTCGAGCTTGAGATCAAGAAGCCCGCGCGGAAGAAGAAGAAGGAGCAGGCCATCTGCAAAAAGATAGAGATCAAGGCACCCGTGCCGATCTGCCCACACGTAGGCAACTGCCTGGATTGTCTGTTTACCTCCCGAGGATCCACCGTTATCATTTCTTGTGTGTCAGGGTTACACGGACGGGAAGGATTCACACAGTTGTTACAAGGAGGTGAGCCTGCCGAAAATGCCTGGGCATGGGCATCACGACAATGCGAGACACGGCGGACATGGTGGTTTTATGGGCACAGAGGCCGAGTACGAGCCTCCAATGTCCACGAAGTAGGGAGGGCGGTAGGTCCTTTTCTCTTTTTACATTGGCGAGAACGTAGTGGCGAAATGGCCCCCACGTCTTGATGCTTTCCTGTCGTTATATGTCCTTTGTTGCTTTGACGCTGATGGATGACACGCTGACTTATCATTACCCTCTGCTGGCCCCTTTCCCTCTCGACGTGAGCAATAAATGACAACTCCTGCTGTACTGCTTCGATTCAATATCTGATTGACGAGTAAATGAAGGGAATTAGCTAAGTGGAAGATAAGACAAGCGACAAGACACACACCCAAAACCATGCGGTCAGGTTCAGAGGCATAACAGGGAGCCAGAGGTCCTCTGAGAGACGTGAAGAGAAAAGGCCGACGCGGGAGGAAGACGGCGGATACATGCAATGTGATGACAACACAGAAACGTGTCTTGGACTCTGTTGGCCGTTGCCTATTCATTCTTGACAAAAAATATCTCCGCGGCACTCGTTGGGCCGCCCAGGCCCGGTGGGGGCCGGACTGCCACGCTCATACCACACCCAAAGATGGTCAGATAATGTGGAGTCAAGTACACAGAACGGGCGACGATGTTCGTCTAAGCCTCAGACAAAGACACCACCGTTCGCACGATGCAAACGGAACACCCCACACAAGGAAACGAGCAAAGCTCAACGACTGCAAAAATCACAAGGAGAATGGACATAAGGATGTCGCGCACTGCACAGACACAACCAAGCGGGGCGTGCACCCCAATGCACACGACATCCACATCATGTCAGCCGCCCCACAGCCCCGCGATTGTACGGCCCGCGGCTGACGAAGTCCTTGAGAAATGCATCGGCCCTTCCTGGCCCTCTGGCGGGTTCGCACCCTGCCCACGACTCGCGTGGCCCTCGCGGGTTCGCACCCTGCCCACGACTCGCCACTTGGAACGCGTTGTGCTTCATGAGCTCAACGGACGTAAGCTGGCTCCAATGGTTGGTTGATGCCGCTCTCTCGGAAAGGTGCGCCCTCATAGGGGGGATGGAGGTAGAGCGGGGCTTCCGCTTGATGAGCGTCTTGATGAAGTCCACCGTCTTGATGAAGTCCACCGTCTTCTCTCCCCACCTGCCGAATGTCTCCGCAGCGAAAGGCACGAGGCGGAAGCCAGCTGCTTGGGTGGTTGGTCCATACTGATCGATATTGTCTTTCTCCGCAAGTTGCGCCGTCTTGCCACTTGGAAGTTTTGCGCTACGTCGGTTGAGTGTTCGGTGGGAGGGGATGGGGGAGTCGTCAGGCTTGCAGGGGTGGGCGATGGCGACATCGAGCAGGTAGTCATGGCCGTCGATCACACAGTAGATGTGTATGCGCTGGCTGTTGGGGTTGTCGTCGGGCGCGCTGACGCCGAGGCTCTGCACAGGCACCTCCACATTGGAAGGAACATCTGCCTCAGCCAGGATGGCGAACAAACAAGTTGCGCATATTGTTGTGAGATCTCGTCACACGCTTACTGCCCCGTGTGACACACGTAACAGTGATCGCCAAATTTGTCAAGCTCTCCCCGCCGCAGATGCATCGCTGCGAGACAGAAGGCT